GAAGAAAAAATTTGTCCAACTTTGTGAAAGCTTTAGAATCATACACAATAAAATAAAACAAGAGGTGAGGGTGTACACATTTTAAGAAAAATACAAAATCTAGAAGAATATATTGAGTTTTTGACTAACCAGTTACACTTGCAGTATTAAATAAGATAATGGATAATGATGATTTGTTAGTTTGTCTCTGATTTAACTTCAATTTTTCTTCTCCAGCTACAGCCTCAAATAAACAGTTTGTAATTATCTAATTCATAAAAGCCAATCAGGAATCTGTGTGGAGAGTTTTTATTTTTAAATTTAAAGTTTGTTCTGGTTGTTTTAATGCTGTGTAAGTTACATTAAAATGTGCTGTATGACCACAGAGCACTCTGAGAATCGTTGGTATAAATTAATACTTTTCAACTTTGTAGAATAATCTGCTGCTTTTAAGAAAATCAAAGACTATTTAAATGTTTTTATCGTATTCTTAGCAACRACAAGCAGGCATGCTGTGTTAGAATGCTTCTTATTTGAGCTGCTGGGTGACACGACTGTAACGAGTAATTGTGTTTTTTAAACGACATCAGAAACATGCTGAGCAGATTTTAACGCACTGATGGCGCTGACGAAGTCGTTGAACATGGCGTAGGTGAAGAGCGGCTCCGGCAGCTCTCTGAAGAACATCTTTAAAGCTCCAGTGGTCACGTGGATGTCCTCCCACTTGGCGTCTGCCAGGTTCACCTTCTCATCTGGACAAACAACAACAAAAACAGTCTTGACTTGGTGTTCACGATAATCCTTTTCTCCTAAATAAGGAGGGAAAATAAAAGGCTTGTGTGGACCGAACACACCGTGGTTCACAGCGAATCGTAGTTTTTGTATGATGGCCAAGTTTCCGCTCACTCTGTACAACCCGTCGACGCTCAGACCTGCAGAGGATCAACAGGAGCTTCAATAAACAAGATGAACAGAAACTAAAACACTTCAGAATGTGATGTTAAAACCTCTCACCGCTGCTCTCCACGTAGTCGATACACATCTTCACAAAGATCGGCACCGTGGTGTTCTCCTGCTGACACAAACTGGAAAGACTGGAGCCAAACACCTGATCTGAAGACAGAAATAAATAAAAAATAATTAAAAATGTACAAAATCAAGAGATCTAAGCTCTTTAAATCAGAGATTCTTAACCTATGGGCTGCCACCTTCAGGGCCTCAAAACAACAGTTTTTAACTTTGGGCCACAGAGGGCCGCGGGACCGCATTGGTTTTGAATAAGGTGCAATACACTTTCTCACCACTAGTAGCGGTAGTGCACCACTCAGATGTTTAACAACTTTTTTTAATATGTAGAAGAAGAACCTTAGAAACCTGCCGAGAATAGAAACTTGTTTTAAATGAAAAGTAG